GCTCTTCAGCAGGTCTTTAAGTTCTGCAGAAGCCTGTTAATCACTCATTCATTTAAATCGTGTGTTCAAAAGCAGGGAAACAAATGGCCCAGAGTTCATCAGGTTAGGTGGCCATGATGCAGTAGTAATAGTTCTGCTTCCCTGGCACCTAAATGGCTGCCTGCTGCTCCACTTGGATGTACTGTATATCTCATATGTGATGGGTCAAATTCAGAGAACAAAAAGTCATTGTATGGGAGCATTGATTGAAACAATTACCAGATTCTGAGCTAAAATATTGTGTACTAGTAACTGATGCTGGGGCACCAGACCAGATTTACTGATCAAGATTTTATTCATTCTTTAAGAAATCACTCAGACTCATTTACATCAAAGTACGAAATTGTAAGTTTGCAGGACAGCAATGGCTACTCAATGAAGAAAAAAAACCAATTCTGTCTTTTGCAAATTTATTTCAAAAGTTGAACCATAACATTTCATAAAATAATTAATAAAAACAGCAAAAATTTATAACATAAAAGACAAAAATAATAAAGGTTTACAAAATACTTTAAGGGAGGTATGTGAAGATACTCAGATTATAGATGTTCAGTCTAAGGTGAATAAAGATTAAATGCGTTTTTAATCTTAGGTATCAAACAAATAATCTGTTGGATAAGATCTTGTCTAATCTGTTTATATGCAATGAGTTTAAACAAGTTAACTAGTTTATTAGCATTTCACTATGGAACATTGTATGAAGCAAAGTGAGACTAAACATGACAAGGGGCTGGTTTTAACCAGGCTAGAATTATAGAGAATTAAGATTTGAGCAGATTATCGAATTAGTTATTTTATTTCAGTTACCCATTATTTAGTGGTTTGTTTCTTTATTCTTACTACAAGCAAGGAAATTATTTTATCAAAGTTTGCATTACCTCCAAACAGACCTGACTTGCTTTAATCTTCCACAAGAGATGAGAGTGTCTTGTTCAGATCGGCTGGATATTCAGACAGCCTTTTGTTGAGTCCCAGGACTGGCCCCTGCTGTAGTGAAAACCCCCTGTCAGAAACCATGAAAATTATTTTTAATGAGAGTCCTCCTTCCTGGCTCGGTAAATGGTTCTGTTGAAGCAAAATGAACAATCAGACACACACCACAGAAACAGACAAAGTCGTTCAGGTTTATTTTGGCCAGTTAAAGTTAACTGACTTTTATTAAAAGAGGTTAATGAATGATTAATATTTGTACAAACAAACAATAAAAATTGACTCTCACTAAACATTATTTTTTTCTAATCTTTAAGCAATTTGTCCAACAATTTACCTAAGCAAAAGCAGATTAATTTATGTACAAAGGGTCAGTGTGTGTGTGGGTGCGAGTGTGTTTGATTTAGGTGGGAGAGGCAGAGAATGGGAGAGAGTGGGAGAGCAGAAGAGACAGACAGACAAAATATAGATATTTCTTTTAAGGTTTCTGAAGGTTTTTAAGTAAGTTATGTTCTGTGCTGTGAGCTAAATGGACCTGGGACAAGTGAGCCAGCTTTCAGCCATTACCGTTGTCAGGACCAGCACTTCCAGCGAGGCAGCTGGACAGAGAACTTCTTGAGGAGTTTGCCTGGTGAAAGACACACCTTAAGAAGAAGAGGCCTTCTCATGGACTCGGCCTTTCGGCAAAGTGGCAGGTCGACCAGGAAGTTTTAAAGAGCTAGCTCACAGCCGGAGGATGTTGGTTTCAGGTTTCAGGTGCGACAGCCTGACACAAAAAGATGGTATTTCCTTGTAAAAACGAGAAAACTATGCTGCAAGGTGAACTGGAAAAAAATGACTGACTTCCAGTATAGGAAAAGAAGCCCGGACTGACAAGACTGGAAACATCAGACAGTTTTAAGAAACAGGAAGAATCGTGTGTATGTGTAATGTGATCTGCAGGTGTTCAGATGTGGGAGCTTCTCATGAGAAGCCTGTGTGTGTTTGTGTCTTTGTGTGATGGGACCCAAGGTTACAACAGCAAAAACAACACACAAACTCTTATGAGCTTAGTAAATCAACTCTAAGAACATTGGGCCTCATGCAAGAACATGTCCGTATTCTTCTCCTAAATTTCTCTTACTTTTGTTCGTACAAAGGGTTCGTA